ATAAGGGAGCAACAATTTACATTCATCATTGCTATATATATATATATATATATTTAATTTTACTTAAAAAGAAAATTATAAAATATCCTCTTTAGCTGAAGTCAAAACAACAATGAAAAAGACAATATTAGAGCAAATACATACAGACACGGCAATATATGAAGAAGAATTTGAAAAAAGTAAGGATTATTTTTTGGGTGTGTTTAAACCACATTATTTTGGAAGAATGTATTTTGGAATAGTATATTGATTGAGAATGTATGGTTGAAAAAGAAGAAAAAGTTATTGATGTGATAGAAAATATTATTTTATAGAAAAATGTGTGGTTGAAAATGAGTAGAAAAATGAGAATGAAAAAAGAATGTGGCACAAACAAGGGCTCAATCTTGGATTGCAATCAAAATGGGATCAAGTAATATGTTCCATAATTGACTCTAGCACGTAACAGTTTCAAGAGTCGAACCTCTTTTTCAATTGTGATCGAGTATGGAACTTCATATCAAAGCCTAGTCGAACATGTCAAAACACTTGTAACAATAATACATAATGCATTCATTAGAGAAATTACAAATATTCTCGTACAGGGAATATTTACAGAATATTTACAGGATGCTGATGTGGCAGCATCCTGTGCATTTGTGTGTGTGTGTATTTTTTTCTAACTTTGAATTTGTATTGTTGATTTCAAATTTCTGTATCAATTCTGTAAAAAAATTTTGTACTTGTAGACTAACTTGAGAAATTAGGTACCCAAGTGTCGCGTGATAGGCACGTGTTCTGGGGCTTTAGCAAAGGGTTTTATGCTTCAGTTCTTTCCTCAAATGGAAACTCCCTTTCCCTCATCACAAAAACCCATCCGACCAAACCCACCTTCATAGAGTTCACATAATCAAACCCCCTTCAAATGATACCATATTCACCATCAAACCCTAATCACAACAGACGCCCAAAATGAATCCCGTTTATCGAAAACCCTTTTTAATCCTCTCTTTTTTCACCCCCAAAACTCCCCCATTTCCAGCCTATTTCAAGATTTCTCATAGTTGCTCATTTTCTACACACAATTCAGTTTCCAGCTACCCGTCAAGGCGGCACGAGGAGGAGAGCCGTAATGTTCGGGTATCAGTATGGTGGGATTTTGAGAACTGCAGCTTGCCTATTAATGTTAATGTCTATAGAGTAGCACAGTGCATTACCAATGCTATCAGGGCTAATGGGATTAAGGGTCCTGTTCAGATTACGGCTTTTGGAGATGTAATGCAGCTCTCCAGGGCTAACCAGCAGGCCCTTTCGGCTACCGGGATCAATCTTTCCCACATTCCCTCTGGTTTTTTTTTTCCTTTGATAAAGTTATTTGATTTTTTCCACTATATTTACTATCTGCGTTTGTTAGCCCTTTTTCCGTTGAATCTGATAATTGATAGATAAAAAGATACAGGAATGATAAATCAAGAACATAGTAATATTTTGACACACGTCATATGAATCATTTCACTTTTCTCTGGCTGATGTTTCGTTGTGGTCACTTTAAATGCTCATTCGTGTAATCATTGTTACTTGTAAGTGAAAAAACTTTACAGAAAGGAATGTTTACTGAAGAACATTATATAATTTTGATGTCTTATTCCTGAAAAAAAAATTCTGGTTGCATCCTTTTGGAAATGTTATTGCCAAATGTTTTATAAATGGTATGAATTTATATGTAGCATCGTTTATTTTCTTTTGTTATGGGGAAATCCAAAATTGACATTCAAGACATCATCTCTCTAAATGGGTGTTTGGTGGGGATTAAAATTAGATTTTTAGTAGTCTGTCATAGAAGTTTTGAAATGTGTGGTTGAAAAGTTTTGGACCTATTAAAAATGTGGTTAATAATGATTGTTTGACTTTGACTTAGATTAAAATCTGATTTTGATTCGAAACAAACAGGGCCTAAATCTTGGTGGTTGGGATATGTGTTCTAGTTCACAATCTGCAGTTGTGAGGAAAAGGTTCAATTTTTACATGTTATCTAATATTACATGTGAAGAAAAAATGCAATCGAATTGATTGGTTCATAATTATCAGAGTAGTTCTCGCTATTTTGGCAGCTTATTCTCTGTTTTCTGCTAGTTCTCTCTGTGAGCATTTCTTCTATGGCTTCAGGTGGAAAGAACAGTGCTGATAGATTTCTTGTCGTAGATCTTATGCATTGGGTTTCCCAAAACCCTCCACCAGCACACATTTTCTTAATATCCGGTGACAGGGATTTTGCTGCCATTCTGCATCGGCTTAGGATGAACAACTACAATATCTTATTAGCTAGTAAAGATAGTGCCCCCAGTGTTCTATGCAGTGCTGCAAGCATCATGTGGCAGTGGAACACTCTGATTATGGGGGAGAAACTCATGGGAAAGCATTTTAACCAACCTCCAGACGGTCCATACGGTTCTTGGTATGGCCATTACAAGGCACCTTTTGAAGACCCATTTGCAGTTACGGAGCAATCACCATGTTTGCGTTCTGACGAATTGTCTGAGTTGAGTTCAGATTCTAAACTTCGACCAATTCCAAAGACTGTTTTAAAGCAACTTCGCCGTATTCTGTACTCACACCCCAAGGGAATTCTTATTACAGAACTTCGTTCAGAATTAGCTAAGAGTAATTTGATTGTTGACAAGGACTTATATGGATATAAAAAGTTCTCTCGTTTTCTTTTAGCCATGCCACATCTTTTAAAGCTCCAGTCAGGTAATGATGGCCAGTTCCATGTACTTGGTGTTAAACCCAAAGTTTCTGATGAATCACTTCCAAGTGTATATGAAGAACCAGTATCCAATATTGGAGAACCTGAAATTGGTTATGTTCGAAAACCAAATGGGACTACTGAAAAGTCAGAAAAGGAAGGGATTGAAATGCAAGAACAACCAAAAAGTCGGGAAAAGTGCTCTCCAACAAAAATGGAAGAGGTACAAGAGAAAAATCAGGAAGTAAACGTCCAGGAGTCAACCAAAAAAGTTGAATTGTCTTCTCCACTTTTTGAAATCGTGGATCTTTCGAAAGATAGTAAGAGTCAAGTACGTGCTGCAGCTGACGCCGAACTTGGCATTTTCAGATGGATATCGAGGAATTGGTTTAGGAGTAAAGAAAACGATTCAAAGAAGACTATCCATTGTAAACAAAAAAAAAATTCTAATGGGAAGAAAAGGGTGGAGGAGGAAAATGTAATATCAGCAGGTTATCCTGCCGAATCAGTTAGCCCCATTTCACCATCAAGTCATGAGGCAACTGTTGATAGAAAGACTGCTAGAAATTCTGATTCAATTGTTGGAAAACCCAAGCAAGTTTCGAGCATTTTCGTTCAGATTATGAGCTGGTGTAAATTTTGGGGATCAACTGACTCTGATTATGCATCTGAAGAATCTGATAAATTAAACCAGACGAAAAATGATTCAAAGAAGGATGATGTAATTTCTAACGAAGCCTTCTGGAATGAACTGGAGGCATTTATGAACACGTCCCAAGGTTCAGACCTTGTCTTGCAGTCAAGGACCAGGTACACCCGTTCACATTTGTTCTTCTTCATCATTTCAGGTGTCTGCCTCAGTTTCTGATTACAATTTGTCCATATAATAGAGCTTTTTTCGTTAATATTAAGCTTTTAGATAATATCATAGCCAAGCAAAAGAACCATGTTTGACTCTCACCTCACCCGTTTATAAAAATATTGTACAATTTATTGGAAAAAAATGAACTCAACCTACACGTGAGGGGGCGTGCTAGAGGCAAAATGCATATGAATACATGTGATTCCTATCTAAAAGCTTAAGTTTCTAGATGAGATGATTAACAAAATAATGAAACGTCTATGGTAGTGCCAGATGAATATTAGATCAGGATGTATATCTTTTTAGTCTTGCATTATAATCACGATTCTGAATTTTGAGGACAAAAATGAGGATTTGGACATGTTACTAGAAGTTTGACATGTGCTTTACAGTTTTTATGCCTTAAAAATATGTTTGAAACATCTATGTAGCAAAGAGGTTCATTCGGTTATTGAAGCATCAAGCATATATTGCTTGAGTTTCATGGTGTAGGTTTCTCCAAAATATCATTTTCAGCACAGTTTTCTTATCTAAATGAAAATGTGAAATTGCTAAGTTGAATACTAAGAGATTGCTGCTTTCCATTTCATAGGTCAATTTTGCCAAAAAAATAAAGGGACTCCACAAAAGAGGGAGTGAAAGAAAAATACTCATGAGAACAAATTATAGAGTGAGACTTATATTGGATAATAGCAGAAAATTTTAGAAACAAATCATTTCTTTGCCTTCTCTGCAACTTTAGGCCCGAAAAGGTGTAAAAGTGCAACTTGTCCCCAAACTTGCTAAAAAAGCAATTGACCTCTTAGGCACAAAACTTGCTAAACAAAATTCACACACTTGTAATGAAATGTTCGCTCAGAGAACCATAGGATGTGAGATTTCTCAAATTGCAATTGAAGTCCCTGGACTTGTATAATAGAGCAAATAAGGCTGGTTTCTTTCCTAGTAAACTAATCAGTTGCACATAAATGACCATTAAACTCCATATCATTTGTATTAGATGTAAAATTCCGGTTATTACAGAAAGGGCAAGAACAAATTTGGACTAAGGATAGAAGCAATTCCAAGATAAAGATGTATCAAATCGACAAAAAATGTCAAGAAATGTGTAAGACAGAAGCAAATTAGGACAATAAGAAATCCAAAAAGATTTTATTTCATTTGAAGAACATAACATTACTATACATTAATTTGTCTGCCAAAAAATTAAATTAAAAAGGAAAATGACTCAGTTATTATGGAAAGAAAAAAAGATCACATGAAAATTTGCCTTATCATAGTATTTATTTAAAACTGTCCAAGCCAAATTTTCTAGAGCTCCTCTCCCCATCTACTTTGGAAGTTTAGCACTTTGATGCCATATACAAAGAGAAAGAGGAAAAGCTGTGCCCAATTAACATGTGCCAAAGTAACCTAAATACTGTTTAAGGTAGTCTTTCACTCGGCTGCTACCATGTTTGAGTACATGAACATGGTATTCTTTTGCCCATAATAATTCATCTGCATTCAAAAGATAAGGTGCTAGAATTTAAACAAGTTGGGGGAGGATTGCAATATCTAGACATATATTGGCAGAAGAGTCAAATGGGGTTACTAGTTGGTAGGCTTTTACGTTTTACGTGAATACATATATGTTTCTGTTGTTTACATAACTGGATAACTGAAAGTGTTGGTTAGCATTCCATTTATAAAATATATGTTTTTTGTTACCATCTGGTTGATAATATGTTGAACATTTTTTCATAATTACATCGCCTATCATGAATATTTTCTTGCATAGCATTGTAAACATGTTATTGATTGTGAGAGTTTAATTTATCTTTAGCTAGCATTTACGCCATTCGCTGATATTATCCAAAACATATTTTCATTCCACACTGCTCCATATAATTCTCTGATATCACATTATATATTTTTTCATCCTATTGTATTTGTTTCAGGGTGCATCTAGCAGAAAATTTACAAAGCCAGGGACCTTCAGTTCTGAGAGCCATTCCTCAAGGAGATCTTCTTCATCTGGTCGACTTATTGATCTCTGATAAGAAATGGGTTGAGGAGTCTCAATCTCAAACCTCTCCTTTCAAAGTTATTTCGTATACAGCTAATGATCATCCTCGGTGTTCAAGTGGGTTGAGTTCTCTGTTTCAGGTCGGACAACAACATTCCACTTTAAGAGAACTTGGGGAGAGAGAGGGCCAAAATCCTCCTCATACTGGAGTTCCTCAAACTGTATCTCAGGGAGATTGTTCTAGCAAGTCGAGAGATGAGATATTGATCGATTGTCAAAACCTTGTCGATCATATTCTGAAGGAATATCCACAAGGATTTAACATGGGATCATTTAGGAAACTGTTTCTTGAAAAATACTGCTATACTCTTGATTTACAGAAGCTTGGTTACCAAAAGCTAGTTAGTCTGTTACAAGTAATGCCTGGGGTGACTATAGAATCTAATTTTATTTTTCCTTTCGAAGTGTTGAAGAGTCGTCAAGAAAGTAATGTTGGTCCAGTGGCTATTTCAGACAGTGAATCGTCCGATGGTTTAAGTAAGGATGATTGTTCCGAATCTCCTTGGGAAGAACTTGGGCCAGTTTCAAATGCCGACCTTGAAAAAAATGAAATAGATCCCGGGTTTACTGGGAAACCCATAAATGACAGGGCTGAGCCAACACTTGAATATGAACCTTTAGGAGAGGATGACCTTTCCGATTCAGAGGAAGAGTCGTCCTCCGCAAAGTCGGAGATCGAAGCTAAGTCTCGACAGGACCAGGAAGATAGCTCATTACTGCATATTCTTGACTCTTGGTACAGTAGCCAAGATGATAAAAGTAGAAAGGATGCAGTAGAGAGCACGAGCAACACGTCAGATTGTTCTGCACCAAATGAATTTGGTGCCAAGACGGAAGGTCCAAGTTTAAATCACACAGGGAAGAAGAAACCTAGCAAGAGCTATTTGTTTGTCTCTGAACATTCTGGAGATAATAAGGATAGACTAGTCGACGGTATATTGAATAGCTTGAAAAAGTCAAGCGAGAAGTCTGGTGAGTCGAGTGTCTCAGGCTGAATTATATGTGAAGGATAATGCAGGGATGATCTAATTACGTACAGGAGAGTCCAAATTATCAAATAGCTTTCGATTCTGGGAGTTTCATTTCGATAGTTTCTAGTAGATTGGCTGCATTCTTGATTATACTATTTGTTATAATCACTTTCTCCAACAATACCCTGTTTTCCATAAATTGATTTGTTGTAGTTGCTAATGATATATTTGATTTAGAAGGGATTTATTTAGCCATTCTCAAATTTATTATGAACAGTGCTTGTGTCTTGATTTGGACGTAAAGAGGGAGGAGCAGAAGGCAAGACATAAAGCTTAGGGATGGCAACGGTCCACGGACCATGTTTCCATTCCATTCCCTGAAGGGACGAGGCAATACATGACCGGTTGGGACATTTTGTCATTCTTAACCAAGCTTTTAGGATGTTCTATTAGCAATAGGACTGCTTGTGTCGAAATTGTAAACAACAAAATATATTAGAAATCAAGACTCGATTCAATAAGAATGTTAAAAATATAAAATAAGACCCTAATAAGTTATTTTAGTCAAACTGCAAATCAGGCCCAAATTACAGGAAAATAACAGAAACATGATAATTCTAGAGAAAGTGAGAAAGTGTCCCTAAACTGTCGAATTCAGCATAGATAGCTTGGCTCATTTCTTCCTATCTTTGTTAAGCGGAAAATAGTAGTTGACATGGGATATTTCAGTTACTTCGTCTGCCCTAATTCTAGGGATTTGCAGAGCCCGGGCCCTTAGCCCCTTGGACAATAAGACAAGTAGCACTACACTTTCAATATAACAAATAATATTTTCAGTTTATTTTTCATTCTTAACATTGTATCATCATTTTCAATCTTCTTTACCAAACATGCAAGGACCTTACTAGGCATATCCAGATGCTCTGGAGTGAAAGATGAAGCTGAATGTGAGCAGCCCGACTTACAAACACTTGCATTATTATAGACATAAGAATTCAAGACACTATCTACTTGTCTCTGCTCAATACGGTATATATTAAAATTGGATGTTTGTTTTTGTTTGTCTTTTGTCTAATTCTTGCAGATGATTGCCTAATTATTGTAGATTAGTCCTAATTGTCTCAAACCTTGCCTCAAAAAGCTTTACTCCGATCGTCTACCATTACTTTGATACCACCTAACACATGACGAAAACGTGAACAATAATAAAATGTTCTTGTTTGTAACACACGAATGGATGTTTACTCAAATAGACGTAAGAAATATTGGAATTCATCTATTAACATGAAAAATTGAAATGTCTTATTAATCAAAAAACGAGTGTCATGTTTTTACAACATTTACATGTATTTACAGACTCAAAATAATTCATAATCTTATTAAGATCTTAATTACGTACATAAATCCAATAAAACAAAAAACTGTAAAAGATAAAAACTATTCTTAAATTAACCAAAAATAGAAAAATGCTAACACAAACCAAATGGAATTTAATCCCAAAAATTTGACAATGTTGGTCAAAGGCCATGATCGTCTTCGACAAAAGTAATGCAGAATCAAAAATCGCTTTTGGATTGTACTCATGGACGAAAATTCAACACTGCTCAAAGTTAAGCGCTTTCGTAGGTCCTTCTTAATTCTTCTCTTTTGTCATTGATTTAAAATTTCTTTTCTAATTAATCTGCACCACTAATTCTAAAGGATTTGCAAATCTCAGTATAATGGGTCACCCATTCGGCCCTCGAGGCTCCCAAAGTCCACGAGGCGACCTCCACACATGGAGCGGCAAGCTAATATATGAAATATAAGCATAATATAAGGAGGTGGGAAGCCTTCCATCTTACCTGCATACGAGACATTGTTAGTGAACTTCCGAGAATTTAGCATTAAACTAGCAATAGGCAATCTTGTCATGCACATGGGTAGGGGAATTGTTTAAGTCCTTGGCTCACTTCCCCACTCAATCGCTAAAGCCTTTGTAATGGAACGTGTGCTTCGCGTCTTCCCGCTATTTCAAGCAGTCTCCTCCATGCCCGTAGGTCCAAATATTGTCCACAATTGTGGCACCATTCCCCTGATGCATGAGTCTACAGTACCCCCTGCATCTCTTCCCACAGTAACTTGTACATGCTGCCTTCAACACCAACCTTCACCCTCTGCACCTCTACATTGGTTCAGCAGATGGACAGATCATCGAGCGTAGATCCACTCATGTTGAAGCATTCAACGCAAATGCCCCCACATTTGATTTCCTTTGCAATGTCTTGTCACACTATATGAAACAAACATTGAAGTAGTAAGCAAAACTGCATAACGCATGCTCGTATTTCTATCATCGAGGTTCCTTCCTTACACATGAGTCGGGAAGCTAATCTATGAAATATAAGCACAATATAAGGAGGTGGGAATCTTGTCATCGTACCTGCATACCGGACATTGTTAGTGGACTTTCGAGAATTTGGCATTAAACTGGCAATAAACAATCTTGTCATGCCACATGGGTAAGAGAGCTCTCTAGATCTGTTATACATTTATCTGTGCTGTTAAACTAGAGCAATTATTGTTATTTTGAATGAATTGAGGCTTAAATTTGTATATACTTTGTTTTTTAGGTGCATCTCGATGAAAAACGATGGAATTGGACAAAAGGAGCCGAAAATTAGCTAAAGTGGAATTAATCCAAAGTTTGGGGACTAAATCATAAAGTGCTAATACTTGATTTGGACCTAGTATCAATTATTGGAGAGAGGATAGAGTCAATTAGATAGATTTGGAAGATGGAGGATCAAAAAATTATGAAAAAGGGACCAAAATGACTAAAGAATCAAATTCAGTGACCAAACTGCAAAAAACAGAACTTTACTATAACGATGTGCGCGGATGACAATTCTCACACGCGCGCAAGGGCTGAATTCCATTTATCGAGAGGAAAATAAATGAGCGGCGCGTGCACATTGAACTATATGGTGCGCGCATTGGCCATTTCTAGGCCTGAACGGTCAAGCTTTCTAGTTTGTTCCAAATTCAACTTACTATTTAACATAGAAGAGGATGGCCAGAACAAGGAAACATATCAAAACCCTATTTTTTACCACAAGAAGGATGTAGCACGGGATTCAAAGGCAATTAATACAAGAGATTGAAGATTCATTGTCCGGACTGAAGATTATCGAAGAAAAAAATTGATTTTTCACTTTTCATTCATTGTTTTCAATTCCGGTTGATATTTTTCTAAATCTTTTTGTGTAATTTACATAACAACATGATAGACTAATTTTTTTCATGTATTGGATGAAAATGAAACATTTTATTATTTATTTAAATTTTTTTTTTTTATTTTTTGTATTGGATGAATATGAATCCTTTTTTTTTTTTCTTTTAATTTAAAACAAGTAGTTAGTTAAATTCTTACTTTTCTTGATTAATCTTGTATGCGTAGTTTTGTTATTTGATTGCTTGACCACCAATTAAATATATAATTACTTTTTGTAGTGTTGAGATGCTCACAATAGGTCTCCACTTGATTAACATACGTATAATAGATATTAGGAATAATATCTATCACGTGTGCAATCTTTGAGATAATCGTGAAATTGAATGCGTTCTATCCATTCCAATTCGGACTAAGAAGAGATTTGGGTCATGACTAAAATATATTTAATTTATCTTGAAAAAGATAATTAATTACAATAGAATTATCGATTTTTAAGAATGCATGAATGATACTAACTACATAATTGAGAATTGAAATAAATAATAATTTGATAAAAACCCTAATTTTATCGTTTTCTTAGGAATTTAGAATAATTACAAAATCAAAATCTCTTTTGTTTACATAATTCGAATTCTATACGAAACTAATAAACTTGAATTGAATTTATTTCCTGTGAGACGATACTCTTAACTCAACAATTTTATTAGTTATCAACAATCGCATACACTTGCAAGTTTCGCACGAACATCCGTGACTCCGAGTCCTTAGCCCCGTCGACAAATAAGAAAAATAGTGCATGCACAATATAACAAATAATATTTTTTATTCTTAATATCTTTTCGTCATTTTCAATCTTGTTTACCAAACATGAAAAGACCTCACGCGCATACCTAGATGCTCTAGAGTGAAAGACAAAGCTGAATATACACGAACGAGCAACCCGACTTACGAACTCTTGCATTATTATAGACATAAGAATTCAAGACAATATCTACTTGTCTCTGTGCTATATGGTATATATTCTATTATACTAAAATTGGATGTTCGTTTTTGTTTGTCAATTGTCTAATTCTTGTAGATGATTGCCTAATTCTTGTAGATTAGTCTCAATCACGTGAAACTTTGCCTCAAAAAGCCTTACTGTGATCGTCTAACATTGGTTTGACATCATATGACACATGACGAAAATGTGAGCGACAATAAAAGGCTTTTGTTTGTAACACACGAACTGATGTTTGCTCGAATTTCGTTCGAATGAACGAGAGAAATATTGGAATCCACTAATTAACGAGAAAATTTGAAATATCATATTAATCAAAAAATGAATGTGATGTTTACACAACCTTAGATCCACAATTGTGGCACCATTCCCCTTATGCATGAGTCCACAGTACCCCCTGCACCTCTTCCGACGGTAACTTGTACATGCTGCCTTCGACACCAAACTTCACCCTCTGCACCTCTACATTGGTTCATCGGATGGACAGATCATCGGGCGTAGTGTCACCACGCATGTTGAAGCATTCAATGCAAATGCCCCCACATTTGATTTCCTTTGCAATGTCTTGTCACACTATACGAAACAAACATTGAAGTAGTAAGCAAAACTGCATAACGCATGCTCCTATTTCTATCATCCTCAATTCCACTTGCTTGTCAACCCTAATTTTTCTCAGCTCGATATCCCAAAATCGTTTTCATAGGAATGCACGCCATCAATCTTAGGTAGCCAACAACGCAATGTTTGGAGCGAACCCGCTCTGACACCACTTGTAACGGACCGCCCATTCGATCATCGGGGTTCCTTCCT